AAATTCTAAGTTGCATAGGGGAACAGTGCATTATGGGTGTTCGAGTACTGAATTTGGAAAGTGGTAAAAAAACAATAAACATGGCTGTCGGATTAGTTTACCGCTAGTATTTGTAATTGAATACATATTTTAGTTATCTTTTCCACTTACGTTTTTCAATTTATCAATTTTTTATGTCGAATCATCTTTCGAGAACATAGCAGATTCTTTTATTTTGTCGATTGCTAGCATTTTTTCTTGAATTCCAAAACAACGTGTGAAAACGCTACGTGTCAAGATCATACATGTGTAAATGTATCGTACCGTTCGTCGGCACGGGTGAGTACTGATGCCACAAATAAAAAAAAATATGGGTTTTATTTTGACAAACAGTTCGTTTTGGCTTAGGGGACAAATCACCTCGTATATTTTCTACATCAGTTTGATTGTGATTGGTCCAAGCATGTCTAAGATGCAGGTCTGGATGCACGCACGTACAAAGGTCAAAACATAAGCCCAAACGGGGACTAAAACGCAACACATTGTATAAGCAGTTTGTAAAAACATTATGAATAAACTATGCTAATTATTATGTAACACTAACATTTATTTTATGCTTGTACAATGTAGCTTATACATGTAGTAGTAACATCTGAGAGTGTAGATATTGTGTCACAGACTTTATACAGTACTTGCACCCACCCATACGTCTCACACACAAGTGATCTAAATAAGAATGAGAGCATACTTTGAACTTGAGAACCAACTCTAACAACAGGAACCTTTGGAGCTCTTTTCCCATGCATTTTTAATCCGCCCAGTGCTCTCCTTTGACCTTGACTAATTTCAGCATCCATGGGTTCCTCCTCTGCTATGCCAGCAGCAGCTTCACGGGCTACACGACACTTGAACTCCCTAAAAGTTTAATAAAAATTCATCTGAGAAAACAAAGCAGGTGAACAAACAAGTTGATACACGAGCCTGAATCTGACAGTCCGACCAGGGAGAAATGCGATATATCAAATGACTAACCTGTGTAAACGTTGAAGTTTTTCTTTGGGTTCAGCATTTCTACGTATCCCTTCTTCATAGACATTGTCAGCCTTCTTTGTATTGCCTACATTTTCATATTCATTTGCTAAACTCTCATAAAATATGGCAAGTTTCCAACCAATTCCCTTATTCTGTATAAACTGGTAAATCTCAATTGGATCGCTGCAGAAGTTTGCCTGAATTAAAAGCAGATTTTAATCAAGCCAGGAAAAAAGATGACAAACTGTTGACAACATGTCCAAATGTCACAAATAGGCCATTTTCAATCAAATCACAAAACAAACCTATGTTCATCAGGAGCCCATTATACGCAGTATATAAGTTTGAATACAATTGGCCCACCCATGCCCGAGAAATAGCTAATGACATGTTCAAAAATAACATGTTCAAATCTTGATATTTGGTGTACTTTGGGACAGAAATGGCTGACAGTTGGCCAAAAATTAACCAAATGATCTCATATCTGAGAAATAGCAATGAATGTACGGATTGAAGCACAGATGGCCATTACCGAAAACACAAATCCCAGTTGGGAACAATTGGTGGATTCAGTGTAACAGTAAAGCCCAGAAAATAAAAATCATCTTTATGGTGGTCATGCACATCAAAACCAATTTTCATGAAAAAATCCAAATAAAAGCACAAACCATATCAATTTTTAGAAAACAAATTGACCAGATTAGTTTTCTGGGTCAAATTAGTATGAACATACAGCACAGTACTTACAAATTTTATCCAGGCTTCTACATATCTCGCATCATTGGCATATTTGCCTACGTCTTTTACAAAATGAGAAACACATCTTTCCAACAGTAGAGGCAAATTACTGTCCCTTCCACCTTTGGGGAAATTCTGCTCAGTCCATTTAATGTATTCATGCCACACTTGCATAGGATCCTCTCCACTGTATGTCCTAATTTCAGTTTCAAACCATCTGTAGTGAAAAAAAAAGTATAATTGTACAACTGTACATACTTGAATGAGTGTGCACGGCATTATGATTACTCGAACAAGGCATTAGTTATATGATTTCTTCAGACAATGAAAAGAACAATTGTATATACCGGTAATAATGTAAATCTGATTGGAATAATGTTTATAAATTCAGGACCATGAATTTTACTTCGATTCTGCTGTATTATCATAAAGTAGAGAACATTTGAGATCATAAAGATCCCTGTACTATCATTGTTACTATTGCTCACAGTTCCTCTATCCCTGGGTCTAAAAACGTTGCCGGTATGCACAAAGCATTGTCACTTCATCAGCACACAATCGGTCAGTATTTTTGACATCGTCATTGCTATGGTTTTTTTTTTACAACTTCGTTTGTTTATTCCAAAATTCGATCTTTTTCAAATAATTTTTAATCAGGACATCTGTATATTTTAGCCGACAAGTAGTTTGTTAATTCAATATTTTACCAACAGCAACACATTTTTGCAACAAATTTCCATACCCAGAAATTTTTCAGGTTTGACGTTTGGAGTAATTGAAATGAACTCTATTTTGTTTACCCTTCTTCACAGCTCTAAACAAATATTTGTCTTCGATTTTGATATTTTATGATCGAAAAATATTTGTCACACCACATTTAATTAATGTTAAATTGGGCAATTTTTGTGAATGCTCTTTTTGATCATAAATACAAATGGCGACGTTTTGGAATGACAATGTACGCTATGCAGCAAATTTTGTCATTTTTACTAGTAAAATGTTGAATATCACAGAAAAACACAGTGAAACTTTGAAAGGGTTGACCCCTACCCTGGGTGAGAGTGCCACAGACTCAATGGGAAGGCCAATTCCACTGGCCGAGATTCATTCACTAACAAATGCGACTTTGGGGGAGCCTTGGTTAAGGTCCGCAGGTGCATGTGTTCGACCGGGCCTGGTTGACGCCAGGATAGCGCATTAAAATTGCCATTTGATTTGATGGCCACACAGCCCTGTCATGTAGTCCCAAACAGGAAATGACTTCTGTGGCAAAATGCACTGTGTCAGCACTAGCACTTACAAAAAAAAAAGTCAGGAAAGACAACAGTGACATTCAATGTCCGGAACTGTCGCCTGGCACAAAAACATTATAAAAAAAAAAACAAGCCATGCATGGCACAGTTCCTGTTAGTTATCAAATTTAAGATGTATAGTTATGTTTATAGTAATATAGCTGGAATATAACGATGTCAGGAATATGATTTTTTAACATTAAAATGATTGACATTTGTATCTGATCGTCAAACAAGTACTTTTCCATATTGAGAGATATTGCTCTGGAACAGCATTCAAAATCAGCCATTTTGAATACATGTATATATCTATAACATGATGTATAACGAATATGTAAAATTTGAATATAATCAGTCAAAGCATTTAAGAGATATGGCTCTGGAAGCCCAATCATTAAAACAAAATGGTAGCCAGTCAGCCCAATCTGAAAAATAAAATGACGTGCATCAGAAACTTGTAATGTCTAATGTATGTTATACGTTTGAACAAAATCCATCCATAAATGCAAGAAATGCTTGATATTTGAGGATTTTTTTTGCACAAAAATAGCCACCATTTGGCCACTTTGAAAAGGATTGTCAAACCAATATATTCGTATATCTAGGACATGATGTATAATGAATATTAAAAATTTGAACATAATCAGTCAAAACAAGTCAGACATATGGGTTTGGAAACCCATTCATTAAAACAAAATGGCTGCCAGACAGCCATTTTGAATCTGATCTGACAAATAAAATGATGTGCATCAGAAACCTGTAGTGTCTAATGTATGTACCAAGTTTGAATGAAAATCCATCCATAAATGCTAGAAATGCTTGATATTTGATGATTTTTTAGCACAAAAATGGCCACCATTTGGCCATTTTGATTAGGATCGTCAAACCAATATATTTGTCTATCTATGACATGATGTACAATGACTATTTAAAATTTGAACATAATCAGTGAAAGCAAGTCAGACATATGGCACGAGAACCACATTCATTAAAACAAAATGGTTGCCAGTCGGCCATTTTGAATCTTATCTGAAAAACAAAATTATTTGCATCAAGGTCCCATAATGTCTAATGTATACACCAAGTTTGAACAAAATCCATCTGTAAACAGCCGAGAAATGCTTTATTTTCATGATTTTTAGCACAAAAATGGCCACCATTCGGCCATCTTGAATCAGATTGTAAAACAAAATGATGTGCATCAAGGTCCTATAATGTCTAATGTATATACCAAGTTTGAACAAAATCCATCTGTAAACAGCCGAGAAATGCTTGATTTTTAGGATTTTTTAGCACAAAAATGGCCGCCATTCGGCCATCTTGAATCAGATCGTGAAACAAATTGACGTGCATATGTATAATGTATGTGTGAAGTTTGATTGTGATTGGTCCAGGCATTTCTAAGATACAGGTCCGGACGCACGCACAGACCCACACACACACGCACGGACACACGGAGGTCAAAACATAAGTCCCTGTTTTCGGACTGCATCCGAACGGGGATTAATAAGTCAAAGCATTTAAGAGATATGGCTCTAGAAGCCCAATCATTAAAACAAAATGGCCACCAGTAGGCCATTTTGAATCCAATCTGAAAAATAAAATGACTCAGCATCAGGAACCCGTAATATCTAATGTATGTACCAAGTTTGAACAAAATGCACCCATAAATGCTTGATATTTTATGATTTTTAGCACAAAAATGACCACCATTCGGCCATTTTGAATAGGATAGTCAAACCAATATATCTGTTTATCTACGACATGATGTATAATGAATATTTAAAATTTGAATATAATCAGTCAAAACAAGTCAGAGATACATGTATGGGTCTAGAAGCCCATTCATAAAAACAAAATGGCCGCCAGACAGCCATTTTGAATCAGATCTGAAAAATAAATGATGTGCATAAGGAACCTGTAATGTCTAATATATGTACCAAGTTTGAACGAAATCCATCCATAAATGCCAGAAATATTTGATATTTTTTTAGCACAAAAATGGCCGCCATTTGGCCATCCTGAATCAGATCGTGAAACAAATAGTGCATTTTCCGAAGTCCGCGAGGTCTTGCACGAGTGAGATTTCACCTTAACAACAGGTTGCTAAGCATGTGACAAAGGTCAAACATTCAAGCTTTTAATGGCGTCGCTCCATTCACGCAACGTGTAAATCGGCGAAAACATTCTGCCTTTTTACCGTTTGCCACGTACGAAATCAATGGATAACATCGATAAATTGACAATTCCAAAGCTCAAGGAGTTTTTGAGGAAATTCGGCGTGTCAACTTCCAACTACAGAAAGAATATTCTCGCAACGCTTGCAAAGGCAGTACGAAACCTGAACCTTGACGAAGACCCAGATTTTTCACGGTATGATCCAAAAGACGATGTTAGACAACGTCTTATCGATCTGGGTTGTGATTTCACTGACCCTCTGAGTCTTCCAAATTATTCTTCTGATTTTACTAGCGTTCCCGATTTCGGTCTGTGTGATGTGTTTAACTACTTAATGTGTCACCGATCGGATTATGACTGGAAAAAACTCGGGGCATACAAGTCTTATGAAGACCATAAGTTATATTACGATGGTCATGTGTTGGATATGGAATACACCGCAATATCTGAGAGTAGCTCTGTTGGTGCATTTCGAGCCCAGGTTAAACCTACTCAAAAAGACAAAACTTATCTTAACAAGTCAACATACAGTTTGTGGTTTCTACTGGAAAAAGAACACTCTGCATATTGTGAATGTCCTGGACGGTAAGTTGCAATGTTATTTATTTATTTTTCTATGATATCATATACCATTTTTAATTTACAAGAAATCATTTTTTAAATAAAATATAATACATGCGATAGTCTCAGTGTGCAGTTGTATTATCTATATCCACAAAGTACAAGGAGTTCCATAAATAAGTATTTTACTGCTGTGAAACAATGAGCAAAGTGGAAATTTAAGTCAATGGATAAAGTATAATTTCCCAAGTTGCTTAACAGATTATTTTTGAATTTTGATAATTTTATTTTTTACAGTGCAGATGGAGCATGTCGTCATGTGGCTGCAACACTTTATGAACTTGAGGCATTTAATAAAACATCAGTAACTGATGGTCCCTGCCAGTGGAAAAGATGACCAATGGAACATGATGAACCTGTTTCTGTTAAACGTCTCAAGATACTATTCTGCACGGTATGTTTATTTCATAATATGTTTATCTCAAAATAAATAGGCTAAATAGGAAATAGGCTTACATCCATTGATGTTGTGCTTAATGTGCAATATACTGTAAAACACTAATCCGGAACAAACAAATCTGGGGCACTTCCTAATTACACTTGACATTATTTTTATGTAGGTGTTAACTGCACATTTGGCACGCGACATACAAGTATTGTGAAAACAGGAAAACAACAATGACAAGAGAGATTCGCTAAATCAACATTTCGCTATTACGTCATTTTACCACAATTTGCTAAAATTGCTTTTTCAACATGTTTTACAGTTAGTATTTTGTTTTATAATATTATTTTCCAGCTATGGCGTCCAGAAAGAAAATAACATAGGCCAGGAAGATTTTGATCCAAGAGACCCAGTAGACAGAAAACCATTGACACAGAAGCAGGAAGAATCATTTGCTCAAGGACTCTCACAGAGTTATTTCATAAGAAACCTCAGTATATGAAAAAAAAACACATGTTTGCAGCATTGTGAATAGGAAACCTAGTATGGTGGGGATATATCATATAAGCCAATTTTTGTCAGTGGTTAACGTTTTGAGCTCTTTAATGAGAAATGTGTGATACATCTTTGTTTTTGCAACCGGATTTAAACATTTTTCTGTACTCTTACAGATAATACCAGATGCTGCAACACTTAGCTTACTACTGCCCCTACCAGATGTACCGTACCAAAAGATGTTAAAAAAAGACCCAAATCAAGACTGCCTAAACTTATCACTTATAGTAAAGTTTCAGAATTTTTTAAAGATTTATTTGCCAGAAAATTTAGTTTCTTCTATTCAAGATCTGATTGCAATGTTTCTTGGAAACCTGACATACACACCTGAAGAGGTAAATTTCATTGACACGGAGACTGTTGGGCAGTCTGAAAACCCTACTTGGCGTTCAATGTAGAAGGGGATTTTGACAGCATCTGCATTTAAACGTGTTGCAAGTAGGGCTACAACAATGACAAAAAAAACATCTGCTGACCCATCTAAGGTAGTTGATGTAGTCATTGGGTGTGCTGCTCCACCGTCGGGGGATTTGCCTGCTTTAGAATGGGGACG